TGGTTCTCCACTCCCCACTCCCAGACACCCCACTCCTGACGCCATTTGAAATGCAAGCCATCTTGGAGGTCACAAGGAAATAGCCAAGGTGACCGTGAATATCTTCTTCTTGCTCTGAAGTTACAGACGGAGGATGAATCAATACGGAAAGACAATGGCAACGATAGTGTTTTTCAATTCAATATTTTTCACCGCATTCATGATGAGATTTGAAATCTTTCGCCTGAAGCAAAACGAAGAAACATCTTAAGCAGGTCACAGTAGCCAATGCTCTCCTTTGATTTTGGAAGCATGCTTCCTCTGTGTTGTAAGGAGACAAACAGATGCATTCTGACTCCCGAAAATAAGACGCTTAGTTATGGCACCTCATCCAGCAAAGAAAAACAGAGCCTCGCTGTCCCTGCTACTGAAAATTCTTGGACATTGTTTAGCTTTTACCCCTTGGGAAGTTGCTCTCAGGTCCCTTCCAAGGCTTCCTCGTCACAGTCTTTCAGCAGAAAATCCTGAAGTCTTCTTTAAAGAATATCCAAGAACACCTTTCAGAACATGTGGGTCCCATCGTATATAAATACTATTAATAAATTGTGTCAACATTTCCTGTTTATGCTACTGTTAAAAATGTTTTCCTTTCTTAAATAAAGCAATTGGATGTAAGATAAGTCGAGTCATATTTTGAATCACTAATGATTAAATTACACTTCTATTTTTGAAAAGGGGTGGGAGTAGAATTTTACATCTCAAATATTGCAGATCTGATCAGAACACTTCAAGGAAGACATAGTGCAAAGACCCAAAATAAGAAAAAAACACTACAGACACGACTAGTCTAACATCCAGAGAATGAGAGGCTGCAAATCAAAGGCTGCAAATCACAAGGAGTAAACAGACTCATTCACTAAGTCCTGCACTAGCAGACCTAGAGTACTTGACAGGAGTGCTTTTAGGTGGAATGCTATTGTGTGTGGTTGTTGTTGTTTATGGAAATTGCTCATGCAGCAGGGTAGAGAAAGATTTAGAGAGCCGTTGTTTTAGAAAGACTTAGAAAACCATCATGCAGTTGTATATATGATCCCAAGAAGATGTGGGTTCATTCTATTTGTATCTATTCACTATGTACTAGGCTGTCTTCCAAACACCTTTTAAAAATTAACTCATTAACCCACCAGAAAAAGTTCAGTAGGGTCAGTACTCTTATCATCTTCATTTTTCAGATAGAAACTGAGGCTCAGAGAGGTTAAGTAACCTGCTTGACACCACACAGCTGGTACGTGGGAGAGTTTAGTTCTAGGATCTGTGTTCTTCACCATACACACTTGCATCCAATCATACATTCAGTCAGTGTTTAGTGAGCACCTCCTGGGTGCAAGGGAGCTGTGCTAAGGGAAAGTAAATACCTCCTATCTTTAAAATGTCTATAGATGACACAAGGGGTGCGACACAAACCCTAACCCCTACCGCCTAAGGAAGCACGTGGCAAGCGAGCTAACAGGCACACCTAGAAGGTAGGAAGCAGCTTCATGCCCCTAGAGGGAGTCCAAAGGAATCTGGAAGTGAAGAAACAGGAGAGAGGGACCCAGGAGGAGGGACCCACGGTCATGGTGAGGAGGGCCAGTGCAGTTATGATGTGAGCCTGTGGTGATGACATTCAAATCTTGGGAAATGAATTCTTACAAAATGCTATAGTTTTGCCCATTTCAATGTGCTGTGGACTCAGGAAGGCCAGGTTTGTTGGAGCAAAAAACTTGGGTCCTGCCTTTTCCCCCTGTGGACAGCAAAGAAACTGACCAAGCATTTCTACATTTTAAAAATACAGCCAGGCTCGGTGGCTCAGCCTGTCATCCCAGCACTTTGGGAGGCCGAGGAGAGTGGATTGCCTGAGCCTGGGGGTTCGAGATCCGCCTGGGCAACTTGGCAAGACCTCGTCTCCACAATAAATCAAAAATGAGCCGGGCTTGGTAGTGCATGCCTGTAGTTCCAGCTACTTGGAAGGCTGAGCGGAAGGTTCGCTGGAGCCCAACAGGTTGAGGCTGCAGTGGCCGGGAGTGGCCACTGCACTCCAGTCTGGGCAACAGAGTGAGACTCCAACTCAAAAAAAAAAAAAAAAAAAAAAAAACTCAGTTAATATATCTTAAGTGTGTGTGTATATATATATATAAAAAGATACAATTCAGGTACACGAAAAGCTAAATTTTTTAAACAAATTAAATTTCCACTTAGTTTTACTTTTTATTTTGGTCCAGTTGAGAAGGGAATCAATTGAACTTGACTCTTACAAGTAGCTTGAAGTGTTCTAGGACGAGCCTAGACTACAGCTGTGCTGAATGCACCACTGCACTTAGGGTTTGGTAATCATAGGATGTTTTTCTATTACTTTCACAATTGAAATGACATGTCAAGACCTCCTTCTGATTGAAATTTAAATTTATATAATGAATGCCTTTGTGGAAAAATTCCCTTGCTTCCCAAAAAAAAAAATTGGCAACCTCCTTGGGTTCCCTTCTGCTCTGGGAGTTTTTCTGTCCTCTCAATAAATCCTGCTTTCTTAAAAAAAAAAAAATTGACAATGCCAAATGTTACCAGGAATGTGAAGAAAATGGAACGCTTGTAAACTGCAGAATGGAGTGTAAGACAGTAAACCTCTCTGGGAAAAGCTTGAGATTTTTTTTTTTTTAACTAGGTCTACCCATACCCTCTGACCCGGCAGTTCCACTCCTGGGTATTTTCTCAAGAGAACTGAAAACACATGCCCACAAAAAGACACGTACAGGAGTGTTTGCAGTATTAACATGTGGAATAACTTAGGTATCCATCAACAGGAAAATGGATAAACAATCTGTTATACGATGGAATACAACTCAGCAATAAAAAGAAACAAACTACTTAAAAAACACCACAACGTGGAGGGATAGCCAAGATGCTATGCCGAGGGACAGTACCAGGGCACAAAAGATTACACGCTTGGCTGGGCTCAGTGGTTCAGCCTGCTATCCCAGTACTTTGAGAGCTCATGGGTTCGAGACCAGCCCCGGCAACTTGGCGAGATCTCATGTCTACAATAAATCAAAAATTAGCTGGGAGTGGTGGCACGTGCCTGTAGGATCGCCTGAGCCCGGCAGGTCGACGCTGGGGTGGCCGTGAGCATGCCACTGCACTCCAGCCTGAACGATGGACTGAGACTCCAACTCAAAAAAAAAAAAAAAAGGTTACATGCTATATGACTCTATACGAAGTTCCCGACTTGGAAAAACAATTATATTATAGAATCAGGACAATGGTTGGCTCTGGATGGGGGGGCAGTGCAGAGACTTTCTGGGAAGGAACATGAGGGAACTCCTTACATGATGGAGATGTCCTATATTTTGATAGGAGTTTGGGTGACATAGATACATGCAGTTGCATTTAACATTCCATTTCACATAAATTTTACTCTGAAAACTAGAAAAGTGAAAAATATTGAATTCTAGTGAAAGATATCTGTGGGACAGTTTTAGAAGCAAAGTGTACTCACGTCTGCCACTTACTCTGAAACGAATAAAAAAATAAGATGGACTAATGGATGGATAAATAGACATACGATAAAACAAATATGTTAAAGTGTAAATTATAGAATATAGCTGGTAGACCTATTAGCAATCTCTGTACTATTTTTTAGCTTTATTGTATGCTTGGAATTTTTTATAATGAAATGTATACACACACACACACGCACGCACACACACACACACACACACAGGCGTACCAAAAACAGTATACACATTTTAAGTATGACATTCGCTCAAAAGATGGTGTTAATCATCAAATGAATGCTAGCATCACCATGCAACAGGCAGGACAAAGAAAATGGCAGAAGCATGGTTGAGTGAACGTCATACTATACATTGCTACCATATTTCAATTCAACGATGCATATACATCTTTTGGTACTCCCATATATATAATATATATATTTTTTTCTTTTTTTTAAGGGGATTTGAAGCTTTGAATTACCATCAAATGAATGAAAAGTAGTTTGCAGTGAGGAAAGTTTAGGCTTTTGTTTTAAAACTACTCTCCTCTACTAAAGCACAGAAGTGCAAAGTATGCTCCCACCCCTGCAAAGCATGGCAGAAGGAGGCCGTTTTTACGGCACAAGACGTAAGTCTGATCTGTATTTTGAAGTAATTTGACAATAAACTTAAAGTGGGGGGCTTTTAATTTTTAAGAAACCGGACTGGGTAAGTCAAGGCTATTGGAATATAAATGTAATCTCTGGAGTGACTGGGAGTTTGTTGGAGACGTTTTTGCCTTGACATGTAGAAAATTTGGACAAGCTCATAAGTGCACAGTGAAGAAGAAGGAAACCACCCATCATCCCACCATCAAAAGAAAACCACTGCTAATCGTTTGCAAAACTTATCGCCAATCATTCTTCTTCCCATATTTTTTACAGAGTTAAAATGGTAAATATAATATTTCAGTATAGTATAAAGATGTTTTATGTGAATGAAAAATTTTTTCACAAGTGATTTTAAGGGCTCCATAATGTTATTTTAAATGGGTATGTCACATTTTACTGTGGAAATGTGGGCATATTGGTTGTATTCATTTTATTTTGCTATAAAAAATGTCAAAAGCAAGCCTCTTTGGGCAAAAAAAAAGTCTTACATTCCCATTATTTTTAAGACAAAGAATTTCTAGTCATGTACACTCAACGGTGTCTTTGCTGGCCTGTAAGTTAAGAAGAGCCGCCGTGTACATTTGACAAAATGCCCTTACTACTCCAGACGTCTCCAGGATATTAACCACAAGCTTAGCCCACCCCGTGATTTGTCAGTATTCCCGCAGCTCACGCCAACACCTGCGGGTCATGCAGACGCAGACGTATGCACTGGACAGGGTTGGGGGTTGGGGAGGCGGGGGGGCGGGGAGGTGAGGGGGTGGGGAGAGTGAAATGGGGAGGTAGGAGATGATGACCTCGGTCTGAAAGGGTCCCTGTCTTTCCCAACAAGGGAGGAATGAAATATCTCTTTTTTCTTTATTTCAATAGTTTCAGGGGGTACAAATCCTTCTTGGTTAAACAGATGTCTTGTACAGCAGAGAAGAAGTCTGGGCTTTAAGTGTCCCCACCACCCTCACCTGTGCACGTTGTACGCTAGAGGTGATTTTTGTGTGTCCCCCCCACCTTTTCCCCCGCTCCCCCCTTCTGAGTCTCCAGTGTCCATTATACCATCCTGGGTGCCTTTGCGGATCCTCAGTTAGGTTATAAGTAAGAAGGTGCGGTGTTTGGTTTTCTGTTCCTGAGTGAGTTCACTTAGGAGGATGACTTCCAGTTCCATCCAAGGTGCTACAGAAGACATTATTTCCTCCTTTTTGATGGCTGATCATTAGGAGTGAAAATTTTCTGTAAGCGAGGCAGGAGCTTAGAACTGAAAGAAGCACTGAGAAATCAAAGGAGGAGAGTTGCTTCTCTCAGGCGTGACGGTCTGAGGCTGTTCGTGAGTCCCTCGCAGGTGGAGGTGCCAGGAGGCCTCTGGGTATCCCTGGAAAGAACAAGCAGCAGTATTATAAAAACGAGGCCCTCTTCCAAAGAGGTGAGCCTAAGAGGATAAGGTATTTTTTATCCACGGCAGGTAAAGGTGTGAGCTCTGAAGATACACTCAGAAATGGTGATTCATGGCAAAGAACTGAATTAAACTCAAAGCATCCTGCTGGCAAGAAAAGACCTGGTGTAAGGTAAGAAAAGATTTGTGTCCATCTCATCCCCTCTTGGCAGATGACTCTGATCTAGGAGTTTGTGAGAGTGGCAGTCAGCAGCTAAGAAGGGCAGGTAGGTGAATATTCAGGAATTCTGCAAACCAGTTTGGTAAGTAACTTGAAATTGGCCATGATGGCAGTATTTACAGCAGGAAAATAAGCAAATGCTACAAGTCACAGCTCCCCGCCCCGCCCCAGTCCCCAAGATCTGGTTTATCCACTCCCCACACCGCAAAATCTAAAGCTCCTTCTCTGATTTCTCTCCCAAATTCAAGGCCCATCGTTGCCAGCTAAACTCAAGCCATCACTATGTGCCTCAAATTCATCGGGTTCAAAAGAGAAAGTGTGATATTCTCTCCCGGGTATGATCTTACTGATATGTTCTGTATTTCTGTTAACAATTTATCATCTTCCCAAACACCAGCACTTAAAACCACATGATTATCTTTGACACTTTACTCAGTAATAAACAAGAAGTAGAAAAAAAGGAAGAAGAAGAGAACTACTCAAGTGGCATTAATTTCTTAACAGCTGATGTCAGCCCTTATGACCAACCCTTTACATTCACTCCCATGACATCTCTCAAAAGAAGATAGGATTCTAGTTCTGCAAAGGCAAAACTGAAGTCCAGAAAGGTTACATCACTCACCGGCCTTTCACTGTTAATAGGTTTTAGAGCTGTTATTTGAATCTAGAGCCTTCAGAGTACAGAATCCACACTTAAACCACTGTGCCATGTCTCTAACCAATCAGTGGCCCAATTCTGCACTCCATAACTTTCTGCAGTGTTTTACGGAGGGGTATTATTTACACACAACAAAGTGCCCAAATCTCAAATGCATATTCCCCAGGGCTGACTAGTATAAACAATGGTGCCCTTCACACTTGTGTCGAAAGAGAAAACATTCCCGCCCCTTCAGAATGCTGTCCTCCTTGCTAGTTCCAGTCAGTCCCCCTTGTTACAATCAATGTAGCACTGCTATCACAAAATACTATAAACTGGGTAGTTTATAAATGACAGAAATTTATTTCTCACAGTTCTGAAGGCTGGGGAGCCGAAGACGAAGGCATTAGCGGATTGAGTGTTTGATGAGGACCTATTTTCTCATTTGTAGAGAGGGCTGCCTCTCTCTGTGACTGCACATGTGGAAGGCTAAGAAGTTTTCCAGGCCTTTTCATAGGGGATAAGGGCATTCATCCCAATTATCGGTCTCTGTCCCCATGATCTAATCACCTCCCCCAAACCCCACCTCCTAATACTTCACCCTGGCCATTAGATTTCCTTCTTTCTTTCCTTTTTTTTTTTTTTTAGATTAGAAAATACAGTTTATTTAAAGTAAATTAGAGAGAGAAAAGAGAAGATTCACCTCCCCAAGGCGGGAGAGGAAGCCAAAGCCAGGAAACATGGCAACAAGCATAGCTCAAAGAGCACATGGCCACACCAGAGTCTAGCAAGGCTATGGCCCCAGTAGATTTCAACATATGAACCTGGGGGAGACCCAAACATTCAGACCATAACAGCATTGCTTTGACTTACTTCATTATAGATGAGCTTTACCAACCCTAGAACTTTATGAAGAGGAAATCATATGGCATATAGCCTTTTGGGGAAAACTTCTTCAACTCAGCATTTTAAGAAGAATTCATATTATTTGTGTCTATCAGTCATCAGTGTCTTTTAATTGCTAAGTAATATTCTATTGCATGGATAAACCAGTGTTTGTTTATCTACTCTTTTACTGATGAACAATTGAATGGTTGGTGGTGATAATTAAGGATGCTAGGAACAATCGTATACAAGCCCTTTTGTCAACATACATCTTTATTTCTTGTGAATACAACCCACAAGAAAAAATGCCGAGACATAGGTTAGGTGCACGCTTAACTGTGTGACAGACTCGTTCCCCAAGTGGGTTTGTCATTTTATGCTCTCGTTAGCAGTGTGTGGCGATTCCACTTGCCCCACATCCCTAACCACACTTAGTATTGTCAAGCTTTCTAGTTTTAGCCTTCCTAGTGAGTGTGTAGTAACAGTTCACTGGTTTCCACTCACATTCCCCTAATAATTTGTCATATAGACCTAAACATCAAATAAAACATTAGCATTTATCTTTGTGACTTTACAATAGGCAAAAACTCTTTGGACAGGACACAGAAATCACTAACCGTAAAAGGAAAAGCAGAAAGATATCAGGGATTTTATCAAAATTAAAACCTTATGAAAATGAATAAACAAGCCACATGCTGAAATAAATGTATACATATAAAGAACTTGTACATAGAATATATAAACAACTCCTATGCCTCAAAAAATAATCATCATCATCCAGGGGGAAAATATGGGCAAAAGACTTAAACAGCCACTTCAAAAAGGAATATATACAATAGCCAAAAAGCACATGAGAGAATACCTCAGAGCATTTCATCTTTGCTTTTTGGAGGAACCATCATTTTTTATTTTATACTACAGTCTGTGTAAGGATAACTCTCAACCCAAACTAGATACAATTTGGAAGTAGAATGAGCATTTCAAGCATCTTTGTACCCTAAAGTGTATAAACATGCGGATGACACATATTTGGTTATATGTGTTAAACAAAACCAAAAAAGAGAGACTCTCAGGAGGAAAGAAACAATATCCACTGTGTATCTTAAGACATTTCAGCAGACCATTAATATTATAAGCAAATGAAGCAGTAATAATAGGGTAGTGCCTGGAGAGGAAAAAAAGAAAACAGATAACAAAAGAAATTAGCCTAAGAAGGGGTATTTCTCACAGATAGATGAAATGACATTTACAATGTTAGTGTAAAATATAAGAGGAAGCTGGGTACAGTGGTTCACCCTGTTATCCTAGCACTTTGGGAGGCTGAGGCGAGAGAATTGCCTGAGCCCAGGAGTTGACCAGCCTGGGCAACTTGGCAAGACTTTGGCTCTACAATAAATTTAAAAATTAGGCAGGCATGGTGGCACATGCCTGTAGTTTCAGCTGCTTGGAAGGCTGAGGCAGAAAGATCGCCTGAGTCCAGCAGATTGAGACTGCGGTAGCCGTGAGTGTGCCACTGCAAGCCAGCCTGGGCAACAGAGTGAGAACCTGACTAAAAAAAAAAAAAAATACATGTATATAAATCCATATACCTATATAAATACATATATACATATATAAGAGAGGAAATAGGGTTAGTAGAATAAAATGACAAAGTTAATGTGAAGCAAAAGTTTTCCAAAAATAAGACAAGTATTCTCTTATGCATGGGCAACCCATCTCTGCGTGGGTAGTTTTGCATCAGCGAAAGCCCAAGGGAAGCTATCAGACCAAAACAGGAAGCCGTGTATGAGCACTCAGGAGGAAGTCACCAAGACATGCCCCTTGTGTACTCTGATGTGCATCCTGCTTGCCAGAAAGCTCAGATTGTTTGTCAGAAATTAGACCCAGAAAATACAGATGGTCTCATTGCTCCATCACAGTGGTGTTTTCAGATTCTGGTGACATCATCTAGGAATTCCCAATACATCACAATGTTAACTGCCTCCTGTCCTTCCTGACATAAAGTGTGTTCACTGTGGATGACTTGGGTAAAACGCTTATCCCCATGGGTCATGAAACTACTACTCAATATTGATAGTAACTCTGTAAGGAATTTTCTAGAACTGTATTCTTACTCCAATCGTCTTAATGATCTCAAAATAAAAATGCATACTTTGTTTCAGATGATGACCTCAAGACCCAGTTTCTTTTTTAGGCAAAATCCCTGAATAAATTCCAATGATCTTATTTTGTCTCAAATTTCAACTAAGTTGTATAAATCATTTAATTTCCACGTGGAAGATTGATTTTTTTAAAATTTCCCAATCAGATATTAAGACATCAGATCTTTGAAATATGTGGAAATTCTGACCAATAGAAACAATTTTAATGGCTTGAAGAGATTCTCAGCCGGGTGCAGTGGCTCAAGCCTATAATCCCAGCATTTGGGAGGCTGAGGCGAGTGGAATGCCTGAGCCTGAGGGTTCAAGACCAGCCCAGGCAACTTGGAGAGACCTCGTCTCTACAATAAATCAAAAATTAGCTGGGCATGGTAGCACGTGCCTGTAGGCCCGGCTACTTTGAAGGCTGAGGTAGAAGGATCGCCGGAGCTCAGCAGGTCAACGCTGGGGTGGCCGTGAGCGTACCACTGTACTCCAACTCAAAAAAAAAAAAAAAAAGAGAGAGATTCTCAGGAGGAAAGAAACAAGCTTACTGGATAAATTGCATTTCATGGCTAGAGCAGCAAACAAGACAAAGGTGCAGTCCCGGTGAGGTTCATATAGGTTCTGGGAATAAGAGGAAAAAGTTAAGCTTAAACAAAGAAAGAAGAATTAAAAAATTTAGAGGACCTTAAAAAAATTGACATTCCAGAAGGATAGCTTATATTTAACTGTAAAATGTGTGTGTGTATGTTTGTTTATGTGGGTGTGTACCGGAGTCAGAAAAAGCAAACCATAAGTGAAAGTTATCATTTTTGTCAAGAAAACCTTGAAGGCAGGATTTTCTGTCATAAAACCAACACGAAAAGCTACTTTATAAAGCAAAGGAGATGGAGCCAGTTGGCTTATAAATAGATCTAATTCACATACTTGTTCATTCATAATTTAAGCACTCAAATAAGAAATATGGAATATTCTAAACTTAATCTCCTCTCCTGCTTCAGCATATTCTGAAACTCAAAAGACATAGTTTTAGGACAAATGAAAGGCGTTATCTTTATGTCAAAGATAAAATTTGTTATTCTAAGATATAGTAGGT